GAATGATTTAATAATTTATTATGATATAATAATTTAGTATGATTATATTCAGTTAATTTTCATTTCAGTGAAGTTTTCGAATGAAGTTTATCATAGTAAAATTATTTTTTATTTTTCTCGGAAATTAGCATTAAATTTTTGATAAAATTCATTAAATCTTTTTTTAAGTAAAATGCGTTATTATTATTGCGTCGATGTATTCTTAATTTGAAATTTCGCATAGATTATTCATTAAATTATTCGTTAATTTTCATACTTGAATTAATCACAAATATTTGCAGGTAATGTATGGAGATTTCCTTATTTATGTTATAAAAATGGCGGAGGTAAATTATTTAAAAATTTCTCGTAACTTCGACTATTTCTTACAAATAAATTGAGAGAAATATTGAGAACAAATTAACTGGGAAAATCTGATTTCAAATCAAAGTAACTAAATAAAGAAAAAAGACACGGTTTTTCCTGAAAATATTTAATCGCTTCTACCAGTTTATTTTTCAGTTATTTTCTTTTTATCTCCAAAATCTCCAAAGAGTAATTTGTCTAATGCTCAGAGTGCATTTCATATTAATATAGAACACTTCAAAACCGCTCAAATTTAGAGAATTTTTTGACCAAATACGATCATTTTGCAGAAATGGTAATAATAATAGTGGTAATCACCATTAACCACTTTGACTTTTAGCAGTAAAAAAGAAATACAATGTACAAGTAATGTATTATGTAATGGTCGAAAATCAACTATTAAAATTTTACTATGAAAACGTAAATCACTACAAAAAAAAATTACCTTTTATTATTAGCCTGTTTTTTTACAATAGAAAAAAAGGGATAAGATGGAACATAGAAATTTATTGCCGCATCATAAATTTTTAGATCCGATAAATCGGACTTATGGTAAGAAATTTTATGTAAAAAAATTTGAGAATAATGAATTAATAAAATTTTTATATTGTATTATATTATATTATTTTATATTATATTAATATATATATATTAATATATTAATATATTAATATCGCGCTTTTGACATAGGGTTCGGCAAGTAGCGAAATATGCGTCAATCCTGACGATGCTCTAACCAGCGAAGGTGACGCTCTGTGATCATATTATTAATACAGGTAGTATTTGAGCGAAGATGGATACAATCATGTGTGATTTTAGCCGCTCGACGAATCCGTAAAATATGCCTTAGATATAAGTGGTCAAAGGCTGATAGCCTCCTAACATCTTCCACTCTCCTTGGCCATATTTGCCATATAGCAAGATCGAGCGAACTGAAGCTATATGGACGCAGATTTTTGTCTTTACGGTGATTTCATGACGATTCCATAAAGATTTCATAAATCGGAAACACGTTTGTAGCTGTCGTTATCCGGATTACAGTTTCATCTTTTGTCTGGCCACTTGAAATTAGACATGATCCAAGGTAATTAAAGTCGGGCACTTCCTCAACAGGCAATGAATTGATAGGTATTTTATCAGCATCTTATATATACTTTCGTTTTATTTACATTGATTTTGAGTCCAATCCTCGCTGCAATTGTTGACGCATTGTTTAATATCATTTGCATTTCCTCATAACTTGTAAAAAGGACTACATCATCTGCGTATTCGAGGTCTGTGATGCTATGCTGTGGACTAATTTGCACACTTCTTGATTGTCAATAAACGACGCCCGTTATCCAGTCAATCGCATAGTTGAATATTGTAAGGGAAAGGACGCAGCCCTAACAGACACCAGTTCTTATTCCCAAGGAGTCTGTCAGTTCCGCCATATACATAGACCTGTGCGAGAGTATGCTAATAAAACGCCTTTATGAGCCGAAAAATCTTTTTTGGGGCACCGCCACATTTCATCACTTTTCAGAGTGCCGCTTCTTCTTCTTCTTCTAACAGCTCTCACCATTACTGGTTAGTCTGGCTCCAACGGCTACAAGGGTAAGACGCTTCCAAGCGGCGCAGTCTGATACCATCGTCGACAGTAATGGAAGCCATTCCTTTTTCCATCGTCTAAGTCCATATATTGCTGGTCCACCTATACAAAATCTTTTCTCACCGTATCAGTCCAGGTCTTGATTGGCCCATCTCGCTTTTGACGCCAACTGTTACACGGTTTAGCAAATAACGAAATATGCGTCAACTCGACGGAGAATGTGCCCTAAACAGCGAAGGCGGCGTTCAATGATAACATTATTTATGCAAGTGGTATTTGAACGAAGGTGGCTGCGATGTAGTGAGATTTTATCCACTCGGCGAACCAGTAATATGTACCTTAGACAAGAGTGGTCAAAGGCAGATAACTTCTTAATATCCACTCTCATTGGCCATATAATAAGATCGAACGGATCACGGCAATATAGATGCGGACTTTCGTTTTTATGGTAATTTCACGACGGTTCCATAAAGGTTTTGTCAACTGGAAGAACGCATTTCTAGCTGCCGTGATCCGGGCTATAATATCTTTTGCCTGGCTATTTGGTATTAGAGTGGACCCAAGGTATTTGAAATCAGGCACTTCCTCAACCGGCAATGAATTTACAAAAAGGAGGCTTTTTATCAGTTTCTTGCACATAAGACGAAAAGACTTTCGTTTTATTTACATTGATCCTGAGTCTTCTTAACGTAAATATCTGATTAGCACAACCGTGTCTCGGTCTATATTCAGCTTGGTTAGGATGAATTCTGCATTTCGTGTTTCCATGAGTCCATAGTGAAAATTTTTTTGCTAGTAAGGGCTGATTCCTCTATAATTGTCGCAGTATCCTGTCACCTTTCTTAGGAATTGGAAGTAGAATTGCTTTGCTCCAGTCTTCTGGTATTATTTCCTTTTTCCATATATTTATTTGTAGAAAATATATTTGTTGAAGGTGCTATGAACGATGATGGACAACATTTGAAGAGTTTGGCCCGAAGACCATCTTCTCCGGGGGCTTTATTGGTCTTAAATTTATGGATTACAGAGATTTTCCTCTTCTGTTAGCGGTTCGCAGTTGCAAACGCAAGGCTCAATGGGCGAATCAGTTATATCTGGGATAGTGCATTATGGTTAAATATGGTCTCAAAAAATTCTTTCCATCCTATGGGGCGAACCTTAGTAGCCTTAACAGGTACCCTATTCATATCCCATATTATTTCACTGATCCTTTCTCGAATTATTGTTACTTTATGAAGAAAGCGGAATAATTTTCTATTATCGCCTAATTGAACCACAGTATTCATTTTCAAGGCCATCTCCTATCAATCACGATTTCTGCACCACCGTGCTGCTTTTGTAATTCTTCGAAGCACCCAATAATCAGGATCTTCTAATGTTCGGATTTTGGTTTAGCTTTTTCACACAGTTGGACCGTTGCTTCCGATACCCAACTAGCGCGCTTCCTACTAATATACCTTAATGTGGAGGTGGCTAACTTTTAAGTATGTCTTTAGTTGGGACCAGTATTCATTCGCCTTTCCAGAGACATCACTGACGTTCATTTCACTGAGATATTCCAATAATACGGTTTGAAATGCGTTTACTGGATCTTTTAATTTGAGATAATTGAAAGATCTTGAGATACTTTGTTTCTTCGACTTGTTAATTTTATACGAATCTTGGTTCGAACCATAATTTGATCTGATACACAGCGGTTACTAGTTCCAGTCCCCCGTAAGAACGATTTTCAAGTACTCTTTTTTTTTCAAGTATTTTCAAGTACAGAACTCTTCCAGTGGTGACTGACTGGTGTCCAGTGGTGAATATATAGTCAATCTGACTGGAATATTGGTTGTCTGGAGAGCACCATGATAGATGTTTTCTCCGATGGTAAAAAGCATTTATTTGTAACAAAGAATTCATGCTGTTCGGTAAAACGAAAAAGGCCTTCTCCATTGGCGCTCTGGACCCCGATGCCATATCTGCCAATTATTGAATTCCTCGTAACGGCATCATGACCTATGTGCGCAATCCAATTTCCTCCGATGTCACCTTTCGGGGATATTGTTAACAGTTGAAAATCCGCATAGAACTTATCTTTATCGCGGTCATCTGCGGATAAAGGTGGGGCATATACACTGATGACTGAAATATTGCAGAACTTTTCCTTGAAACGCTCGTAGGCCATACCATCATTTACTGGGTTCCACTCAATCAGAACGTATCGAGTTTTATCAGATATGACAATCGCTACGCCATTCCGCCTCGAGTTATCCGAGACACCACAGTGATATAGCCAATATCTTTGCTCGAAAGCAGGTTTAATAATTACTCAGAGCCCACATAAGGAAGACGAACCTGCGACAAACACATCCACATCTACGCTATATTTAGGAAGGATGTGGACAGTGATTGGTTGACTTGCAACATCCATTAGCGTCTTGACGTTCAAAACAACTATAGCCAACAAGCACTTGATTGCGCTTACAAAGTATTAGCGGATAAGTTTTCGCTTCCCTTGAGTTTTGAGTAATTATCTCGGTTCGCGAGCAAATTCTATGCTTGTACCTTGAAATTATTTTATTATGATTATTATGATTACGCCCGGATCGTATATTTATTGCATGTACCACAGAATCATAAGTGCGTAGGAATACAAGGGCGTCATGTCAAAGAAACCTGACCTTTTCAACATAGAGTCACTTGGGGATAGAGATACAGGTGAATCCCCAGCAGTTACCCGTATTTTTCACACCATGACACATTTAATCCTGTGACAAAGAAGATAAAGAAAAAGACAATTAAATTTTAGAAAAAGAGAAAAATAATTTTAAAAAAGTTGAAAAAAATTGATTCGGATAAGACGTAATAGCGATGGTATATTACGTAATAATAGTAAATAAGATTATTTATAAAATAATAAAATAAGAATACAATAATACAATCAGCTGACAAAATATCTTCTGTTAAGTTATTGATTATGAGCAAAGCATCCAAATTTGACAATAATTCACCAATAATGAAATGGTGCCAAGCCATTCGAATAGGTATGGGCGATAAATTTCAAATAGGCTCTAAATTTATGTCAGCACATACAATGCTTTTTGCAGGAACATTTCTTGTTGCATATGTCATCGCATTTTCACTAATTATAATTCCGACATTCATTATGGAAGTTACGATCGGTCAATACATACAGCGTGGTGCAATGGAAGTGTGGGTGATTTGCCCACTGTTCAAAGGTTTGCTTTATTTTGAAAAATCCGGAAGCCGAAATCCGAAAGACCTGAAGCATTTTGCGTCGATATATTATGCTATACGTTTCGTCATCAACTGAAAAACACTTTTCAAGTTCTGAGCATTGGTTTACTTGTGCTGCCGATGTAATATAGTGATAAATTTGCTTTGACTTAAGAGATCTCATAATCCTGGAAAATCATCTAATATCATTTTTGATGAATTATCGTTTTTTAATACTTTAGGAGTTGGAATCGGCAATGTTGTTTTATCGTTTATGTGTTGTTCGTATTACTGTGTTATCGTTGCCTGGGCTATATATTATATGATTTCATCATTTGCGGCCACATTTCCATGGGAAAATTGTGACAATTGGTGGTTTGTATCAGTTTAAAACCTTTTAAGAAGTTATCTAAGAGCAGCCAAAACGAAAGCTTTAAAAATTTTGTATCTGCTTTTTGCTGGAAATCCGCTCATACTTTCCATCCTAAGTGATTCTCTGGCGAGAAGTTTCTCTAAATGCTTCATCCCAGCAAGCCAAGCAAATCAGAAGGTGCTGAAGGATATATTTTAGTCTGTTTAGAGAAATAAGTCATTTAAATAAGTCATTCTTATAATTAAAATAAATAGACAGAAAATATACGTTCACTCGCGAATAAAATGAAGATTCAGGAATACGATTCAGTGCATCACCACGAAACAAAACTCAAATTTGACAATAGTGCAGGAACTGAATTCAAATCTATCAGGAGTGGGTTTACAAACTGAAACGAGTGTTCAACAATTCTGGGAGTAAGTTTGATTTAATGGAAGCATAAATCCGAGTGTTATTTACCTGTTTCCCGATAACAGTTAACAAGGCATATCGGGATAAAAACTATTGCAGATTATCGAGTCGAAACAAACCGCTTTGATATATTTATTACTTATCAATAATTATACTAAAAAGTTCTTCCAAAAATGCGTTTTTAAAAAAGGCGAGAAATGAAATATAATGCATTCTTATTGTTGTAAAAAGATATTTTTCCTGGAAAATATCATGAATTTAGACGCCGTGTGCTCAAACAAAGTGATACATTCTTTGAATTTGGTGGGCTCCAACTGGAACTGCTTGGTTTATTATTTCTTGCCTGGTTCATTGTTTACATTGCACTGCGTAAAGGGATCACAAAAGCTCGAAAAGTATGAAATCAAATTTATATATAAAAATCGCTCGTAAAAATGATAAAATCTTTGAATCATCAGAGAATACTTATGCAAACCTATAAATACTTATAAATCAATGTTAAAAAATTTGATAGTACTCGATTATTTTTTGAGCATTGTCGAGATACATATAAATTGTAATCGCTTTCGCCATGATGACCACAAAAAGAATGATAATCACCATTAGCCATTCAGCCTACAATGGCTTTAAAATTTAACTGATTTGATTGGAAACCTAGAATTCAGTCATTGGACTAATTTCTATGGCCACACTTTTTAAAGTAAGGCATAAATAATGAAAGAATAATACACCAAAAAAGTCTGCCCAAAAAATCTTTAATTTTGAACTTTTCAATAGGGCGGATGGGTCAGTAAATCCACTTATCATATCACTGCCTAACATTAACAACAACAATCAGGATTTCAGTTTGTATATTTCTGTGCGTTTTCTCCTTATGTGCTTCTTATTGTTTTGTTGATTAGAGCATTAACATTACCTGGTGCAGGCAAAGGATTATCTTATTATTTTACACCTAATTTCACTAAACTGGTGGAGACTACTGTATGGCGAGACGCTGGAACACAGGTTTTATATTTTTTCGCTTTTTGATTTATGAAATCACAAAGAGGCCATATTAAAAAGGCCATATTAAAAAACAGAAAACAGGTTTTTAGAATATAATAGTGATATTTTTTCGATTTCTAGAATGGATGGATTTAGTCATAAATTAAATATTTATCCATGTTTCAGACATCTTAATCCTGAACAATTCTTTAATACATCAATATTAAATAAATAAAAATCGAAATAACTTTTAGGTACTTTATTCTTATGGAGTTGGCTACGGAACCTTAACTGCCCTTGGTTCACACAATTCTTTTAATCAAAATTGTTTCAGGTACTTTAAAAAGGATATTTATGTATTTTCAATCCAATATTAACATCTGGACTGGCTTTTACTTTATTCTGCTTTAAATAATTCTTAGTGTAAATTCGGCCATCTAACAAATGCCAATAATTTTTCCTAATGCTCAAAAAACATTTCACATATAGAACACTTAAAAAAACCCTCAAATTTAATTTTTTCGATATTCGATCATTTATTTTACAGAGATAGTTTCATAACATGCGCAATCAATGGAGGCACCAGTATTCTTGCTGGTAAGATTCTTTTGTGATTTTATGTTTATGATCTTATTGGACCCATTGGTACCTAATAGTTTCTTCTTCGATCAAGTATCTAGTGCCATTGTCGATTAAATGTGACAAAGAGCAAGCAATAAATGATAATAATATTCATTTGGTCAATTGTTTTTGGATTATTAGCAACTAATTAATAATTTATTTTTCTTTCCGCATGGATTGAAAAATGTCATCTTGCGGCTTACGATTTTTATAATGAAAAACATGGAAGTATGATCGAGGGTCCTTTCCCGTACAATATTTAACGATGCGATAGACTGGATAATGGGTATCGCTTGTCACTTAAGAGAGCTTGGCACTTAAGAGATGATCAGCATAGAGCATCGCACAACAGATGTACAGATCTTGAATACGCTGATGATGTAATTTTTTTTGTTGACAGTTAAATGAAATATAAATAAATAATGTGTCAACGACAACGAGAATTGGACTCAAAATCAATGTAAACAAAACGAAAGTGTATTCGTTTTATACACAAGATGCTGATAAAATACCTATTTTTATCAATTCATTGCCGGTAACCCCAAATGGCGAAGGATAAAATTGTGACGACAACTAGAAATATTTAAAAAATATATTGTTCCGGCTGGTGAGACCTTGGAACCGTCGCGAAATTACCATAAAGATGAAAATCCGAGTCCATATAGCTACAATTCGTTCGATTTTGCTATATGATTGAAAAACATAGCCAATGAGAGTGGAAGATACTAAAAAGCTATCAGCCTTTGACCACTTATATCTAAGATATATTTTACGGATCCGTCGAGCGGATAAAATCGCACATGATTGTATCCATCTTCGATCAATTACCACCTATATTAATAATGTTAACATTATCACAGAGGATCTTCGCTGGTTAGAGCACATTTTCCATCGTCCACTACATGAGTTGACGCATATTTTATTAATTGCTAAATCCTGTAATGGTTGGCGCCAAAAGCAAGGAGGACCAGTCAAGGCCTGAAATGATACAGTCAGGAAAGATTTTGAACGTATAGAGGGACCAGCAACATATGGACTTATACGATTAAAAAAGGAATGGTTTCTATTGCTGTCGACGATGGTATCAGACCGTGCCACTTGAAAACATTAACATTATCTTACCTTTGTAGTCAGCCTAAGCAATAATGTTGAGAGCTGTTGGAAGAAGAATGATCGAGTCAAAACGATATGGAACAAGTGAAAGAAAAAGATTACTATAGATGATTATTTAGGTTTTGTGGTCTTTTCGATCCTTGGCTTCATGTCAACCATCGCTAATAAAGAAATCCATGAAATCGTTAAGCCAGGTATATTCTTTCAAAAATATAATTCAGTATTAAGTTTTTTAATCTTTGAAATAAATTCCTAAAAGTTTTAAGATTTGTTGAAATAATTTTTAAAAATTTTGTTCAAAAATTTGGAGATAAAAATTGGGCGAGGGAAACAAAGTTATTATGGAATAAAAACCTTTTTTTTCAGGTGTAGGTCTTGTTTTTCAAGCTTATCCAGAAGTGGCTAGCAATCTGCCAGTAAAACAAGTGTGGGCTGTATTATTCTTTTTTATGATAGTCATTCTGGGCTTAGATACTCAGGTTAATGTGCTTACTGAAACATTCAAAGTTTTTCATATTTCAAATGTATCTAATAAATTTAGCAGAAAATTTCATAACGTGCATAAATGTGAGAACTCATCGTGTTATTCGTATTATCTAACGTATGTTAAATGGATTAAGGTGTGTATTCTAGAAGGATTTTTCACTGCTTTGGAGGACACTTTCCCAGCAATCAGGAGATTTAAATCTGTGTCACTAGCGATCACTTGCTTTATTTTTTTTATTATTGGCATTCCGATGGTGTCACAGGTTGATTTTCATTATTTTGGCTTATGAATTCTTGATCCAAAGAAGCCTTGAATGCTTTTAAAATATTAAGATTTTGAATAATATAAGGAATTCAGGCTGGTTCATATTGGTTGACATTATTTGATGCATATGGTGCAAGCGGAATTGCCTTATTATTCGTTGTATTCTTTGAAGTTATAGGATTAGCATGGGGCTTTGGTTTGTTGATTGATATATTTTTATATCCTTTATATATTGCTTATTTGGTCGCTGCATTGCAATAATTCACCTTAATTTTTAGGGGCAAAAAATATTCGAAATGCGTTAAAAGAGATGATCAGTCTAAATATGTCAATTGTTTGGGATATTTTTTGGAAGTTTCTGACACCAATATCAGTAGCGGTAAATTTTTGTTTATTTTATGCGCGAATTTTGTTCAGATCTATTGCATGAATTAAGAACTATTTGAAAATTTGTTGTTTAAGAATAACATAACTAAGCATACTTTTAAATCCATCTAAAGATTTTCCTGCATGTTCTTTTGTAAAAAAAAGTTCAAAAAGTTTACAATTCCAGGTACTATTTATTGTGTGCATCGTAAAATATGAACCATTAAGATATCCAACAGGTGAAAATTTCCCATCTAGCGCAGAGATCATTGGATTTATCTTGGCGCTTTGTTCAATGATTGTAGTACCAGCCTTCATGGTGTATTATTTGTTATTCAGAGATAAGAAAGGAACGTTAAAAGAGGTGACTCTTTAATTGGCCCATTAAACCATTAATCCATCAGAAAAAGAAACCAGCCAAGTAAGCAGGTTAAATAGAAAGGCAATCTCTCTAAATTTTTTGAGATTTTTCCAGCAGTGCGCGTACAATTCCATTTAATTTCAAAATTTGCACTAGTTCACCCCGATTGGCCAAAAAATGTGAATTTAGATAAGCATTAGCCACAAATTTAGGCTCAACGTGCCATTAAATGTAAAATTAATTAATGAATAAAAGTAATAATAATGAATTTAAAATTGCATAAAATTAGAACAAATTTGATAAAATTAAGAAATTTTGTCAGGAAATAATTTTACAATAGAAATAGGGGTAATTCACTAGTATCGTCAAGATTTTTGAAAGATAAATTTATTCCATTCTTCTTAATATATCGAAAGGCAAAAACAATTTTCATATCTAAAAAACTTTAAAACTATATTTATCTCAAATTTATCTCAAAATGATTAACGGAATCTCAATTAATAGCACAAAAATAAATAAATAAATAAGGGAAACTTTCAGCGAGTTATCCGAGGATTTAAAGCACCTCCACATTTACGCACAGGACGACCGACAACTACACGCGTTGCTGATATTGGTATGGAGCCAAAATTTGGGGTTATATCTGCGTTTGGTTCTACAAATGATCTTAAGCATCAGGAAAAGTTCCCAGCAATAGCAATTAATGAGAGAGATATAGGTGTTCATGCATAGGCAAATAGTGAACATAGATGACCATTCGCTACAAATCTACAGACATGTCAATGAAAAAATCGTAAAAATGTCTTTCTTTTCGATTCATTGTACATAGATATTATTTTTATTATATTATATTATGTATTATTGTATAATCACTATATCGCCTTGAGCTCAAACAGCACTCAACAGCGCTCAAACAGCACTCCAAAGGACTTCTTTTATTTCCTTCAAAATATACGATAAGCGAGCAGCGGCTAAACCGAACCGGTTCAATAAGACTAAAAATATGGGAATTAAGTATATTTTTGTAAAAAACTATTAGCTCGAAAGTGCAGAAGAAAACAATAAAAAAAAAAGAGGAACTCTGAGAACAGCGTAAAACTCGAAAAAATGTTAATTTTTTAGACAAAATTTTCTGACGTCACCACTGTCATATTAAAATGCATTATTTATTGTTTAATTGAGTAGGAAAATAGCTAAAAAGGTTTTATCCATTATAATTTAGCAGAATCTGGTAAATTACCACTTCCACAAAACATCTTTTTAAGGGAATACAATAAAGGTTGTTTTGAAAAAAATCGAAAAAAAATAACTGCGATCAGGAAAAACAATAATGCAAAAACATTCCAAAAAAAGCGGTTTTTCACCTTTTAATATCATTTGATGCATAAATCTAGTAAATTTTGCTGAATTTTGCTGAAAAAATTACTTGGAGCCTTGGTTGCACCAAATTTTTCTCGCTACTTCCCGACAAATAAGAAGTTTAAGAAGCCAAACAGATTAATCAATGATAAAGATTTGGAGTTGTCGTGATATTAAAAAAATTTAGGGTCATAAATTTTTTTGAGCTTAAAAAAGCGAAGAAGCAGTTTTAAAACTTTTCCAATAAAGAAAAATTCTAACCGTAATTCAAAACTGAACTGAGATGGACAATACTCATTTCCCTTCTTCTTTCCCTGTATTTTCGATTTATCCAAATCCTTCAATTACTAAAACAAAACCTTTTTTTCAGAAAACCAAACTTACTTACATCGGAACAAAATATTATATATTAAATTAAATTAGCTCAATAAATTAAATTAAATATATACTAAATTACTATACCAAATTCGTTAGCAGCATTTACCAGCATTTCTATCAAACAGCTAAAACAAAAAAATTATGCTTCCCAAACACAAAAAAAGGAGAAAATTTGCAAAAAACTATCGAACGATCAGTAATAAAGATGTAATGTGGACAGAATGGCTCAGTGGTTTGTTACTCAATTGCTAGCGCCAATGGTGAGGTTCGATTCCCCGCAGGAGTAAACCTGCAAAAAAATCCGGATGATGCTGCCGACTTATTTCTATCGCCAAGGTACTCCCTGGCATATTGCCCAATGCGACAAGGCAGTGGAGCGAATTTAACCAATAATAGTGAGGAAAAAAAATCTGCAATAAAGAAATTTGAAGCTTTTCATGACATAAAATTATTCTATTAATTATGCTTTGAACATTTCTTTTCTTTGTTCAGCCTTTAACCTTTATAAAATTCGAGAATACTCAAATTCCTTCCAGTGGGCCTTAAAGCTGAGAATATTTTGGCTTAAAACCTGTTTTAGCTCTCCACTGCACACACCATCGGAACTATCCAGCATAAACCCTCCACTTCGCTGCCTGATGTTGGACAATCGCCCAAAATCATCGACCATTTAAATTAAGCTGATTTATAGAAGGAAAGCTGCAAATTGTCTCTTAGCACGAATTTTCAAAAAAAATTTAAATTCAAATCATTTTGGCGGGTAATTTATTTTTGATCATTTGTGCTCTCTTTTTATTTGAAACCTAATCAATTGTGTTTGTCGGTGCATAGTTTCTGCGTGGTTCTTATTGGTTCTTGCGAGGTGAAGTCTGAGGCAATTCTTTATAATTTTAAAATTTTTGTTTTTCCTACAGTGGTATTCGTTTTTTATATATTTATTTTTATTTGTTTAGAAATCAAAAAGAATTAAAAATGAAATTTTTGATATTTCTACTTTTTAATTTCAAATATTTTAGCGATTGCGTGCAGATTATTTTCAAGCAAAATACCGAATATTTTTTTTGCATTTTCCGCTACTTTATGCTCCGAAAATCGATGGGTCGATATGAGAAGAAAGCTCATTTTCATATTCTCAATTTTCAGTTATTTGATTGTTATGAGCTCGCAGAGTGTGTTCAAGTCGACCTGGAACAGCCTTTCAGCTTTTAGGCCGAGATACAGACCTGTTTCGAATGCCAATTTCTCAGTCACTGGCATGACAATGTTCGAAAAGCTTCAAAAATTAGGAGAGGGTTTGTTTATTCATTTGTTTGGTTCGAATTCGACGTAATTTTTATTTATTCCAACTGTTTATTTTTATTTGAAAATATTTTTGGCTTTATTTCCGTTTGTTATTAGGCACATACGGAATTGTATATAAGGCGCGCCATCGACAAACAAATAGGATATTTGCTGTGAAGAAAATACGCACTGAAGAAGATCCTGATGGAATTTCGGCTACAGCTCTTCGTGAGCTTGTTTTTCTGAGAGAACTTGAACATCCCAATATATTAAAGTTGGTTTATTTATTGTACTCTATTTCTTTTTGTGCACAGTTTAGGCTTTCATCTTAACATTTCTCTTCTCGAATTCTCTTAAAATCTCTCACCATTACTGGGTAGATCTTGCTCCACTGGCTAAGGCCAAGTCGATTCCATATCTGACAGTTTTAATAAGCAGTAACAGTTTTAATAGTTGCAGACACTAAACCATTCGTTTTTCAATCGTCTAAACCCATATATCTCTGGGACTATTTCAAATCTTTTCTTGACTACATCAGCCCAGGTCTTGGTCCTTTTTCTTTTGACGCAGTTCATTTTAAAAAAAGGTAGCGAGTTTTGCATCGTTTTCTTGCGGCAGCAAAGAACAGGGTTTAGCCACCTTGAATGGTGTCTTGACGGTATTTTGAGCGCAGATAATATTCGAATATAAGTGCAATCACTTGAGGTTTAATCCATTTGATGGGCTCTTAAAATGCCGTAAGATTCAAGGAAAACGATAGATAGCTTTTCTCCATTCCTCCACTTGCATTGGCCATGTTTCGTAGGACTGTAATATAAAAGACTGTACACTCACACATACTACAGCTAAATAGATACGAACTTTCGATAACAATTTTGCTAGATTCTTTGGAGATTTCGCCAGAGAAGGAATTTCTAGTGGAAATGGAAAGTAGGTTCTAAAGACTTTTAAAAGGTTTTTGTATTTATGTAACAGGATGATATCACTGACTGTGTTTGGTAGATGTGATAGTCTTGTTTAAGTCAGAGGCGCATCTATTATCTGTTATTGCTAAAGGATTATGAAGTGAAGAATCTTACATTAATAGTCTGTGTAGCTAGCCTCATCTGAAATAGTGCATGCTGCTTTAAAAAAAAAATATTCCATTGCAAAACATTAAAATTTCATTTGATTTTATGATTCTTCAGTGGTAGTAATTTAAATCCAAATTTCTAATTTTATTATAAAATTTTAATGCTTTCAGGATGTTTGATATCGTTTACCAGTCTCAGAAACTGTATTTGATTTTTGAGTATTGCTCAATGGATGCGAAAGTATTTTTGGACAGGCTACCAAAAAATAAGCTGTTGCCACAAGTATTGGTAAGGTTTAAATAGTTTCCCAAAGATCCCAAAGATTTTCATTCCATCGCTATTTTTTTTTAGTATTTTTAAGCAATGAACAGAAATTATAAAATTTTATAGAATTTTATTTTTATTTTATTTGGTGGTTTTATATTTTCTCATACAAGCTGGGCATATAATTAGTCTCTTTGATCTCCTTACAAGTAATTCTCATTATAGGGTTCTGACAAAATCAATTTCAGGTTAAATCCTTTATGTATCAGTTGTGTCAAGCTATGTGTTTTTGCCATCAGCGACGGATTTTGCATCGTGACTTAAAGCCTCAAAATATGCTAGTCACGAAGAATGGTACTATTAAAGTGTGTGACTTTGGTTTGGCACGTGCTGTCCTTATACCAGCAAGAGCATACACTCATGAGGTAAAAGCACATTTTGGTGAAAAGAATTTAAAAAAAAATTTTCATTTGTAAAAAAAAGCATGTCATAAAATATTTTTAAAATTTTGATTTGGAATATCTCCTTTTTTTTCTTCAGTATTCTAGCCTACTAGATTATCAGAGATTCATTTAGGAATAAAACTTATAGCGGATGTCCTCTCCGACAGGATTAGAATTTATGAAACCTGTTTTCAATATACTAATAATCGGATTTGACTAGCTAAATCTCTACTTTTGTGATAGATCTCTTATATCATTTTATCTTAATATCATTTTATGTCTTTCATACATTAAGCAGAGTACTGAAACTTCTCTTTTCTTGTTTAATAAAATCATTTTTCAGATTGTTACACTTTGGTATCGTCCACCAGAAGTTATTATAGCTGAATCGCCTTATACATGCAGTGTGGATGTATGGAGCATTGGTTGTATATTTTTTGAATTGGCATCAAAACAAGCTCTTTTCAGCGGAGATTGTGAGATCGATCAGCTTTTTCGCATATTCAAGTATTAAAATTAGTTTTTTAACATTTTTATGTGTTTCTTAATTTTTTTAAATAACGCAAACATTTCTTTTATATTATATAATGACGCTTATAGATATAAATAATTAATATAAAGAATAACTTTCATCACGAATTTTTTTAAAATATGTTTTATGTAAATTATTTTCTTTAATTAATTGTATTTGAGCAGATTTAGCAGATTTTTATTCCACATTTTCATATTCATATTATTGCATATTATTTAAAGAAAATATCTGAGAAAATTTCTGTGAAAGTTTCTTAAATTTTATTTTCAGAATGCTTCGCACGCCGACAGATACTGAATTTGCCTCTTTAACCAAAAAAACGGACTTTATGCATGCATTTCCAAAATTTACGGATTATGCTCTACCATCGAAAGCTCTTGTCTTCTTGGATCATGAAGGCTTTGATCTCCTAGAGGTGGTTAATCTTTCTTTTATTGTTTGATTTATTTATAAATTATTGCAAATAAATCGGCATCGACATTAAAATTAAAATATGACTTAAAGATCATTTCATATTTTTTTTATTTTATTCTAGTATTTGGAAAATTTTAGAAATTCCTTCTCTACAATCCAGGGAATCGAATTACTTGCAAGGCTGCGCTGCAACATTCTTATTTCAATGATCTTGATAAAACGGACTTGCCAGCTGGTAGTTGGGATGGGTCAACGTTGATGTTACCTCCAAAGTCATTTCTAGCTGAAGCTGAGCAGACGATATAATTTTTTATATAAGAACCAAAAAATAGCTTATTTCTAAAATAATTCATTATTTTTCTTATTTGATTTTAGCAGTCAATTTTTTGTGCAAGTTTTATTTTTTTGCGTGGAATTTTTATGCGCCAACTTCCAATATTCTTTGTTTGTTGTCTCATCATTCTTTTTTTTAGCGAATTTTGTTAATAGATTTTTTGGAAATTAGGAAAAAAATTTGCATAGCGATTTATTGCTACTGCATTGTCGTACTTGTAAAATTTTCCAGCTATTATTTAGTTTGGTTTCTTTTATACAAAATTATTTCTAGCTTGCATTATCATTATTATATCGAATTTTTTACAAAAAAGCTCAGTAAAGAGATGCTTATCAAATCATGCTGCATTGCGATATTTGCATAAAATTGCTGGCATGGAATCATATTTAAACATAAATTTTTGTACTTTAGGGTTTAGAGTTTTGATATAAACGAAAGGGTTCCGAGTATTGCAAGTGAAATTGTTTTTTAAATTTTTCATCAGCATGAATGAATTACTGAATTCATGTAAAAATTTAATGTTTGGTTGATGTCACCGTTTTCGAAAATTTCATTTTTATAGGAGATATAGGAGATTATAGTCGATGTTTTTTTTACGCAGTTTGTGTTTTAGTTTTTTGATGAAATTGCTAAGTAATTGGTGAGTTCTGTCATTAGTTGTAATTTAGAATTTCCCGAAAATTTGTAATTTCTCTATGAAATTTCGGAAAACGTTAATTAAGCAGAAAAATTTGCATCCATCGAAAAAAATTTCGCTTAATGGTCTTTTTTTTATATCTTTTAAAAGTACGAAAATATTTATCGAATATCGAATATTATTGAAGATTGAACAAGGATTTTAATTTTTTGTGTGTCATATAAGAAAATTTGTATGGTTTATAAAGTTTCACTAAAATTTTTCAGTCGAATTAATTTTCTTATTTTGAAAATTCTCTCTGCGAAAAAATTCTTTTCCTCTGAAAAGAAGGAAATATTCGTTCATTTTTCAAAATTTTCTACAGAATATTTTCATTAATTGCATTATAACTTATTTCTTAAATTTTTCATTTCTTATAAATTCCTTTTTAAGATGCATTTCCATTGATAATTAATTTGAATTTTATGGTTTATTTCATTTTTTTTAAGTTCATTTTAAGTGAATGGTTAACTGTTTATTGTGCGGTATGTTAGTGGTATGCAAAGGAGTAGGGAAATTCTGCTTGTATTCTAAATAGACTTGTGGTAATACAAGACAGTAGGATGTGCCCTAACCAAGGTAGATTCAGATGGAGATGCAGTTGTGTTAATCAGATATTCAATCAAGAAGTGTTGGAACATTGCGCATACTCCTTCGAAGTGAGAACTGGTGTTCAAACTTGCTTCCTTTCCTTTGCAATTATGCGATGGACTGGATAATGGATACCGCTTTTCGGCACTCAAGAGTTGTATAAATTAGTCCAGAGCATCATATTACATATCTTGAATACGCTGATGATGTTTTTTTGGTGAGAATTATGAAATGCAAGTAAATGCAAGTGAGAATCGGACTCAGGGTTAATGTAAATAAAAGTTTTTCGCCTTAATATAAGAAGCTGATAAAATACCTATTTTTATAAATCAGCTGCGAAGGATGGTATCAAAAGCGAGGAGGGCCAATCAAAACTTGGACTGCTACAATCAGGAAAGATTTTGAACGTATAAGGGGAACAGCCAGTGATATATGGACTTAGATGATGGAAAAAGGAATGGCTTCTATTGCCGATATCGGACAGAACAGCTTAGAGACATCTTATCCTTATAATCCGCAGAGGCAGCCAAGCAATGGTGAGAGCTGTTAGAAGATGAAGAAGAGACTAGCGAGAAGAAGAATATTTTAAAAATATTTCAGCATTTTTTATAATTTTATATCATTGTATTCATAACTAATGCATGCGTGGGTTCGTTGATAGTTTATGGTTTTCATTACGGTTATAAATATAAAGCTGTGTAACTCATCGAATGCACACATAGAGTTGGTTTTGCACCATCTGTGTGAGACTCCAGCTATTCTCTTGCAATTATCCATCCATACATAATCGCATCAAAAAACTGCTCTATTATTTGTTTGTTATATCGCCATAAATAGAAATTTTTAAGATGAAATTCACTTATCTATTCGCTTTCAATCAGCAAAACTCGACTGCTATTCATATTTATTTTTTTCCCACAGTCTTTATCATTTGCTTTGGCATAGAAACGATATAAATTTTTTGATGCGATTCATCTACGTAGTTAATTCAACGGTCGCGTAGAATTAGAAAAAAATGTTTTCCAAGTTATTTTACTTTTTATGAAAGTTGAACGTTCAATATTTTCTGAAAATAAAAAATTTGTGGAAGAAAAATAGAACGAATAGAACGAATAGAAATAGACTGACGAAGAATAAGTGCCAATTGGCAGTTGGTGAATTACAAGATACGCCAGAAACATTCTTCTTCTTCTAACAGCTCCCACCATTGCTGGTTAGGCTGGCAAGGGTAAGACTTTTCCAAACTGCTCGATCTGATGCCATCGCTGATATTAATAGAAGCCATCACTTTTCCACTGTTTAAATCCACATAACACTGGTTCTCTTATAATTTCAAAATATTTCCTGATTATAATATATCAGTCCAGGCATTGATTAGCCCCCTCGATTTTGACCGCAGAGTTTAGTAGTCAACCCCTGTGATGGGCGATGAAGAACGTGTCCTAGAGAAGTCGACGCTCTGCGATGGCAATATTAATGCAGTGATATTTGAAGGAAAATGGATACAGTTACTTGAGATTTTATCCACCCCTAAAATATCTTAGAAATCAGTAGTCAAAGGTAGTTGTTAGCTTCTAATACTCTCCGCTCTTGTTGGCCATGTCTCGCAGCCACCTAGCAAGATTGCGTGAAAGCTATACAGATTTGAATTTTCATTTTTATGGTGATTTTGCGACAGCTCCATAAAAGTTGCGTCAACCGGAAGAACACATTTCTAGCTGCCGTGATCCGGCGAACGATTCTACAAACGAAGAAAGGATCCAGATACAACCGTAGTATCGCAAATAACTGGTCCAAGTAGCTAATTGAGCACATTTGCTCAGAAAAATTGTCAGAAAGTGTAGATCGGATTATGCAAAAGAGGAAATAACTGCGTGATAAAACAAATAGTATGGTAGTAACCAATTAAAGGCATTTTTGCAGTCTATTCTTTAAAAAAATTTTTTGCGATTTTTTCGAAAATATTTCCAGTTTTATCGAGCTTTATTCAATATTTCTATATTATTTTGATTTCAATATAATTAATAAATATTATCATTATCATTTTAATTATCATTATTATATTAATCTGTTGTCTTATCTTTTAGCTTAAAGGTGGAAAATATCTATGCAACAAAACTTAGAAACATAGTTTCACAAGCTTTCACCCTTGAATTACCCTTTGAGTGATTCGCTTCAAAATCTAAACCATGGATTCCCAATCTTTCTTGACTAATCGCCCCCTTTTTTAAGTTGGTTCATCGGGCAAAGGCGTTTTTAGTAAAGTTAAATTAAATATCTAATCCTACAAATTCCAGAGCTAATATTATTTGCAGATAATCATCTCTAAAAATTATAGAAATAGAAAATCTATATTTTAGGTACTATTTATTGCAAAAAGTAGAGCAACATTACTAAGCTTTTATAAATAATAATTACAATAATAATAATTTCTCAATGAGCTTCATTGTAATATTACGGTTTTGGCTTTAGGCTTTAATCAATCAAATACAAACAAAGCGTTCGTTTCTTTAGAGAATGATTTCCACTAAAAAGCAGCCTGGCAGACAACTTTATATCACAGACTTTGCAGATCTTCATGCAAATTAGATCGTTTCTTTTCACAAACCACTGGTGTCAGCAAAATTACCACAAACTACCACTATACCTTACCACCACATTTTTCTGGACACTTTTCTGATGCAAGAAGCAAATGGTGCAAGATTGAATTACTGCACAAAATGTTTGAATTTTTCTTAAGCATATACATCAAGAAAGAGTCCAAAAAAAATTTTTTCAAATTAAGTCATAAAACTTAGGAAGCTCCTAATTTATACTATATTATATCCACAAACTCCTGAAAATAAATTATAATAAATAATCAAATGAAGAGATCAGATAAAATCAGTTTCGGCAGATTCCTAATGATAATAGTAGGAACCGAAGCGTAGCGAGGCAAACTTGAAATAGTGAACGTTTAAGGAAGGCCGGCATGGTCGATTAGTAATTATTTGAATCCCAGCCTCTGATATGAGTAAACATGTTAAAAGTGAAATGAAAGTGAAATAAAAATCGGTCAATTCTCTTGGTAATTATTCGAGTGATTCCCTGGTGTTTTCAAAGGAATTTCATCCTGATATCCATTAGTATTGGTTAATGGTGAATACACTGACGGTAGAATGGCTCGGACAGTTGTTGATGGCGCACGGAGACCTGTCCTTCAAAACCCAGGATGACGCTGGCCACTCACATATATTCTATCCCCAACCAATTCCCTGCCAAAATTTGCACAATCCGACAAACCAACGATGCCCAATCAGTAAAACTCGGCGCTCGAAAAAAATGATATAATATTTTCATATATAATTTTCTTGAAAATTGCATTTCCTTTCCTTCCTTCATTTTTTTCATATTAATATTTCCGTATTCATATTAATTTTCATATTCACAATATATTAATATATTCATAGCGATTTTTAAACTTCCAATTTGATAGTTCCATCCACCTGTCCCTTTTTTTACGAACAATCCCAGACTCGCGTTTAAAAAATAACGTATAAATAAAAGGTGAAATTGGGTTTCTATAAGTCGGATGCGCAATAGGTCAATGCTTCTAGCCGATTGTTAGTCATTTCTGTCACTTCTGCAAATGTAATTAATTTGTGACTGAAATTATTTTGAAAGATAAGAGGGATTTTTCGGGACTGAATCGCATTTCCACTGGGAATTTCTGCAGAAATCGCTTATTTAATGTTAATTATTAATTTTGTTGGTTACTGGTAATTGTTTTTGCAGAAATTTCATTTCACTGTTCGATGGAATATGAAATTAAAAGCAGTGAACTTCATATAGTTTATGGTTCCCAGACAGGTCAGTCGGAAGCGATCGCTAAAATAATTTATGAACGAGCGGTAAATATTTCCTTAACGCCTCAGTTATATATTCTTAATGATTTCGAAAACAAGGTTAATTCTCTTTGATTAAAACGCCTTCCCCCTAATAAAATTCTTACTTGAATCCGTCTAACGGCTATCACCATTAGTGGCTCGGCAGATTGCAAGCTTAAGGTAGGCATGTGCGAGCCGCTCGCTCCGGTGCCATGTCTGCTCAGCGTAGGCGATGTTTGAGTGCATGTTTGAGCGAAAATGGATGGAGCCATATGGGATTTTATCCGCTCAACGAGCTCATAAAAAGTACTTTAGACATGTGAGTCAAGGATGGGTTTTTCTTCTTCTCAGTATGGCTTCTTTCACTATAATTGGCCGTGTTTCGAACTAAATAATAGAATGATGTTTGCAGCTAGATCGATGCATAAAATTTTCTTTTTTATGGTGATTCTGCAGAAGGTCGCCACACATCGCCAAACAACGCATTTCTTGCTAAGGTTATTCGGGATGCTTTTCGCTTGGCCCTTCCGTATATGAACGGATCCAATCACGATGAATTGATAAAAATGGGTATTTTATGAGCATCTGGTGTCTGGTTAGACGAAAAAGCTTTATACGACAGAGTTATGATTGATACCAGTTGATATTCTCTGAAACACTTTCGCACTCTGTTATCCTTCCTCCGGAGTGCTGATCTATCAATTAAAGCGAAGACGGCGGCAGAATCGATGAAAAAAGTGTCGATAAGTTGTCGATATTTAAAGCAATGTTCTAGCACCCTTCTTACCTCGAATATTTGGTTAACACGCACCCCATTCTGAATCCAGCGTGGTTAGAGAGTACCGTGCTGTCTCATAATGCCATATGTGGGAAAGCAAAAATTTTCTGTGATATCTAGTGGGCTAATTCATATATAGTTATCTCAACATCCTTCTTGGCGTCATGTGCCACTGCTTTAGGCATCTGTTAGTTCTTTCTTCCATGATAGAGCGTTCATCCATTGAGTTATAAATAACTATGGATAACTTTTGAAAGCTTCACTTTGAAGACCGTCTCATACTGAAATCTTTATTATCCTTTGGAGATTTCTTCCTGTTTTGGCGGCTGGCAATTGCAAATATATGATTCACTGAGTGTTTCAGCTATATCTGGGATAACGAATGGTGCATAAATTTGACATCAAAAATTTCCCTTTATCATACAGGTAGCCTTAAAAATACACTATTATTATCTTGGGTCACCGAATTGAGCATTTTGGTTGCGTTATAAGAAGGCGGAATCACCTGATCGAGCAGCTAATCCTTCATTTTTAGCGCCATGTCACTCCAGTAGTGATTTCTATTCAGCCATGCTATTATTATTGCATGCCTTCGAGGTACCCCGATAGCCAGGATTTCCTAACATGCATGCCCTTTCGGAAAGACCACTGCTTCCTATCTACCGCATTTTCGGATATTAGCGTGAGTTTGTCTTGCGATCAGCGATCTTTCCAAAGATGTTATTTATGTCATTGAAGTGCTTCAGCAATTCAATATGAAATGTTCTTGCTATCTCCAATCTCTTTGCTTGGTAGTAAGATCTTGGGAGATACTGCAAATTATCAAGTTATATTTATAAATTAATTAATTATATTGTAATTCATATGGCATTATTCCTTTTAGCTGAATTTGGTGTAAATTTGTACAATGACTTAGTTGTAGAGAAAAGGGAGATTTTTTATAGCACGGAATTTTCGTTGGGACTACGGCGATTCCCTTTCAATATTCTATCTTTACAACAATTCATTTGGGGAATCCGCTCTATCTTTTTCTGTATAGATTTAACTTTCCTGCCGCGCGAGACTTTTCTTTTTTATCAAAACTTTTATTATAAAAACTCTGCGGTGAGGCGTTCTACTTCTTACTTTTCTCGTTGCTAACCTCAAACTTGCGTAATTAAACTTTTATTAGTAAAGACGCAAATATATACAAGAAAATAAAGCGAAGTAATTGCCCTACTACAACGAAATAATAGGAGTCAAAAAAATCAAGCCAAAGAAATCAAATATAAAAACTAAGTGCCCATCATTCACCCACAACTTCCGCACTCGTTTCCCCTATTAAAACACAAAAATGACCAAAATTGATCTTTTGGGAGCTTATATTTAATTTAAGATGGGCGGGAATCCGGTTGATTTGCTCAAATTTATAGCTTTTTTCGCTTTTTGATTTAGTAATGGAAAGCCATCTGTGGATTATTTGATTGCACTGACTAATAATTTCACTGCATGGTCTACGAATGCCATCGAGTGGCCATTTTTATTCTGCGAATTTTGGCTCGAATCATAGTATGGTTTGATCCATGAAGATTGCCATCTTATGAAGATCTTTGAGGATGTTTTATGAAGGTTGTCAATCCTTCGATGGGGATATTGGTTATCTGGGGTATTGATTCCATGTGACTAGATATCCTTCTTTAATGCCAGAAGCATGTATTAGTAGCAAAAAATCCATGCTTTTGAGCAAGAAGACTTTCTCCATTAGCACATCGTGTTCGAATGCCATATTTGCCAACTATTATGTCATTTGTAATTCTGCGTAAGATCGATCTTTTTAACGGTCATCTTTGCATAGAAATATGCTCGTATATACACTGATAACAGAGACATTGCAGAATTTTCATTTAAAGCTATAGGAACGTTGACCAGTTTTCATTTAATTAGGCCGAATCGAGCACATGGCAATCGCTACCCCGTTTCATCCCGATTTATTCAAAGCACCACAATGAAGCACCATCCTTCTGCATCTATAATAGACTCGAAATCAGAAAGACGAACGTCGAGCAGTCGATATCCATACGACATTTTTAATATGGACAATTATTATCTGGCTCCCTATGTCCATGAGTGTTCTTGACGTTGACGTAAAACGTAAGACAACTCCATTAACTATCTCGAGCAACTATCTTCTCTGCTCTTTTTATTCCTAAAACTGGGAATCATTTTACCTGACTCGGTTTGCATACTTGTCGCATATAGTACCAACCTAGGAGTAGCGCCATGTCGGAGGAGAGAACGCTATATCGAAGCAACCAGCTTTTTTCACCTCAGAGTTGCTTGAGGACACAAATATAGATGAGCAACCATCCAGATTTTAGTTTTTTGACAGATTTTCTTCTTTTGAGATTAAATTTAATAAATACTTCTCTATCACACTTATTTAAATATATATGTTATATTTACTATTATTAATAAGGAGTAAAGGTAAATAAATAAAACAAATGAATGATAAATAAACAAGGGACGAATGAACGCACCTTATTCAATAGTAAGTTTTATAGAAAATTAAGAAAAGTTTAAAAAAAACAGTTAGAAATTAGGATTATTTTGTTGCAACGACTATTCGCTTATAAAAGTTCAGAATTTGTGAGCAGCTTTCTGGGAGTTCTGTTGATTTCAAAAAGGACTTGATGAATATTGGTTCTTTTAAGAATCCGGTAAAATCTATGTCTAACATTTATATCTACTGAGTAATGATGGCAGTTTTGTAGAAAATCATTCAAATCAAAGAATTATAGAAATTAAACTTATTCTTTCTCATTAATTTGTTTAAGTGCATCTAAATAGATAAGCTGGTGGAATGGTTTAGTGAGTTATTGCTCGTATTTCCGAGTGAAACGATACTATTTAGGTACTGTTTGAACTAAACTTGCTTATTTCAAATGAACAGCCAGAAATTGAGAGTAGAATTGTTCGAGAAAAGTGCAAAATATGATGTCACGAGCTCGAAATTGGGAGAGAATATATTTTTAAAGAAGGGTCATCTTCGGTCGGGAGAAAGAAGGATTATTTCCAAGAGTGGGACAGTTCAGAGAATTGTCGCTCAGTAGGAAGCGCGGATGCTGAGACTCTTCTCCCGATAAGAATAAACTTGTCCAAAAGTCCGGGTGACGCCGATGACCGATCATCTGGATTTCTATCATCTAAAAACTCCCTGGAATATTTATCTGGTGCGATAAGTCAGTAGAGCGAGTTTAACCAGTAATGATGAAGGTTCTTAAAAAAAATCTAAATAGATGCCATATATGCTATATTCATTATAGTTCAATAAGAATAACAATATATTAATGGTAATTGTTTGCTCATCGACGGGTGATGGTGATCCACCAAATAATGCAGCTGAGTTCGTTCGATTTATTGGTCAGTCAACATTGCCGAATAATTTTCTCTGTAATGTGAGTTTTGCACTTCTGGGTAAGTTTTCTTAATATTTTTTAATGTTAAAGATTTTTCAGAAAATTTTCGGAATAATTGAAGACATTTTTAATATATCTCGTAATCACTCACACTGATTAAGATGAAGAAGTGTGGTGCCTATTTATAGTTTTTGAAGGGTTAGGCGATTCGAATTATTCAACATTTCAAGGAACGCCACGAAAGATTGAGAAATGTATGGTCCATCTTGGCGCAAAAAGATTATTCGCAAGTGGTGTTGCTGACGATCAAGCTGGGTATGATTTTTTTAAAAATGATAGAGGGAATCAGAAAATTTAAAACAATGTTTATTTATTATTTATAGATTGGAGCGTACTGTTGAATCATGGATTAATGAGTTGTTTATAAAATTATATGAATGGTTCGGTATTAATCGTAAAAGCAATAGTGATGATCTCGATTCTATTAAATCATTAATTATAGTACGTTAAGTGCCGTTTTTTTTAAAGCTCATAAGTTAGTTGCGTTATTTTCAGTTATTTTATTTTACTATATGAATTTACTATATGAATTTTTAGGGCGATAATAATTTGTTCAACAAATATGAGAAATGTATTAAGAGAATGGATGTCACTCAAAATTACGATATACTGAAAATAGAAAATATAACATGGCCCCTCGATCAACCGTGTCTTATTAAAGGTAGTTTCGAAAATTTCATTAAAATTTTTCAAGTTTTAGTTTCTATTTTTTAATAATGATTCCATTTCTTGTAATTTCTTTTTAGGTGATGAAAAAGTAAGTTCCGATGTAAATCTTCGAGTTCCAATTCCTGCTATCCCTTATTTATCGTCCTTTATTATTGATGAGATTTTTGTAAGTCTTAATGAATTTTATGAATTAGAATTTGAAAATAAAATAAAAACAAAAAAATTTTTCTCTCTCCATGGGTGGTCATGGATGGTCATAATCGTCTTCAATTTCGGGTCCTCTACCAGAGACCTGTTTATTCACCATCTGTTTACTCGATAAAAAACGCTGAAGACAGAATTGACAAGTGATTTCTATTTTTTATTTATTTATATTAAGCGACATTTTAATTTGAGACCTGGGAGATTGAGGATTTTATGTTGCTATCTATTCCTAATAGTGTGTTATTCTGGATAGAGATCTCTGATGTTACCATGTGACTATGGGATACCAAGATGCTTGTAGCTAGTATTTTGCTATGTATTCTGATGGCACTCCATTTCATTAGTCATTACTACTTTGCCTTTTTTTACTGCCACATTTCTCTAATCCGAATGGTATCCCAATGTCCTCGCTGTAGATTCGAGTTATATGGATGAACGTCAATGTCTCAATTTTTTGCATATAACTTGATGTCATCCATATGGATGAAGATTGCTGATGGTAATCCCGCTGTTAAATTCGTATCCATATTCGCTTCTGGTGATTATTTGACCGTGTTTGATTTATATATATAATTTACGACTTTCTTATTTTCACGCAGATTTTGTTGTCTTTTCATTTATATTTCTAATTCTAATATTTGGCAAAATAATCTGTTCCAAATAGCTAACAGGACCAGAAAAATCCAAAAATCCGGTATTGAGAAATCGACGATTCTTGAATTTTTATCACTTATTAATATTAATATTAATTAATATTAATATAAAACCACTAATTCTATGGTCTTCAAGGATGAATCTTCAATTCCGTGGCAGAATGGTTGTAATTTAGTGGGTGCAGCAAGTAGAATTCATTCAGCTAAAGTTATTGACAGATTAGAATTAACTAATGTTGGAGCGTTAAAATCCAAGCATGAAATACAAATTCAATTCGGAAATGACGATAATCTATCTGATATTCAGTATGAACCAGGCGACGCTTTTTATTTTATTATTCGTAATCGAGATGCTGAAGTAAATTACATTTTACATAGGTTGTTATTTAATTTTTTTTCTGAGTATTTTAAGATTTTCTTATAAATTCTTGGTCAAAAGCATAAATTTATGAAATTTTTTCATAAAGTTATTCGCATTAAATCAAATTTCAGGCAGTTTTGCAGATTTGAATGAAATATATAAATAAATAAATAAATATATTTGAATGAAATACTTTTATCTTTGATTTTTTAGACTTAATTTGTTGTCAGTGGCAAATCGAAAGTGCCAAATTGTTGTGGATACTTCGACAAAAAAATCGAATGCTGTTTTGCCGAAATATATTCCAGAAATAAGCTCATATCGATATATTTTCACTTATTGCTTAGATATTAGACGAGCACCAAGTAGAGTTCGTAAATTATTTCAATTAAATATTAACATATTTTTCATAAAATAATTTTATCTAAAATTATGTTTTATAAATTTTAGCCACTGCTTAGAGTCTTAGCCAATTATGCTACTGATGAAAAAGAGCGGAGAAGATTACTTGAACTTTGCAGTGCACAAGGTGTAAATGAATTCACTTCGTTTGTGCGCCAGGTCTTCTGAATTTTATTGTTTTCTTGTATTAATTAATTTTTGAATTCTTCTTTAGATCCAACTAAAATTTCAATTTATTTTATTTAGATTTCTAAATTTTTATTTTTTTATTTATTGAAAGTTGGCATGTTTAATAAAAGAAAGAAGATATTTGATATATCTTTTTAAAAATTTATAAATTTCTAACATTTTTTTTGAAGGCGAATCTTTCGTTGATTGACATTTTGGCAGTTTTCACTTCATGTCGTCCTCCTATCTGTAGATTAATAGGTAATGAAATTTTTTTTTTGATAATTGGCGAAATTATAAATAAATTATAATTATAATAGTAAATTATAATTATAATAAATAAAGCCTTTAGCATCATTAACCGTTCTATTTTCTTCTAGTAGCCCGCACCATATATGGCTTGGATCACTTCAGTTGCGACGAAGGCACTTCTAAGACTTCCAATGCCAATCCTGAAAATAGTTGAAGCCATTCCTTTTTCCACCTCCTAAGTTCCACCGTATATGGCTGGGCCACCTATACTCAAGATTTCTCCTGAATTTCGTTCTAGGTCTTATTGGTCCATTTTTGACATCATCCATCACAAGGGTTAATAAGTAGCGAGATGTGGATAAATTCTCCTGGTGGGAGATGAAGAATAAACCAGCGCAGGCAATGATTTCTCACGATATTCTTAATGCTTGGTGGTGTTCGAGCAAGTGTCGATATAATCATATGAGTCTTTGTTTGCTTGGCCGGTTTGGGATATAAATAGGATGTATATTAGACAGGATTGGTCAAAAACAAGTAATTTCTTCATGTCTTCCACTCTCTTTGACTCTCTTTTTGTAGCTGCGTAGCTTTTGCTAGAAAAATGCGAATTTTCGTTTTAAGCTGATTTCGCGAAAATTTCACAGGTTTCGCCAGAAGGAAAATACTTCTCTGATTGAGCTATTCGAGCTGGAGTTTCAGCTATCGCTTAGCCATTAGGTATGAGAGTGGGTCCGAAATATTTAAAATTTAAAATCCGACACTTCGACCATTAATTTATTTGAATTTTATTTGAATTTTGATCCTAACAACGTCTGGTATATACGAAATAAGAAACTACGAAAAGAATTCTATTTATATTGATTTGAAGGTCGATTTTCGCTGCTATTGATACCTGGTTTAGCATCCAGCTCCTTATAGTTATTAGGGAAAGTAAATCATCAGCTTGTTCAAAGTTCATTTTACCGTGCTCTGGATTTATTTGAAATTTGGGCAGCTCTTGAGTGCGGGTAAGCAGTGTCTATAACCCAGTTTATCGTATCTTTGAAAGCTTTAGAGGAGGGAACGCAATAATCTCTATTTCCAAGTGATTTTATGGTGAAAGAGTCAAGTCCCTTTGATGCGATGTCCACGTCTTCTAACGCAAATGATACTTCTAATCCGGCAGTATATGCCATAAATATGCCATAAATATCCGGTTATAATAATAAAATAGTTCAAAGGCGTGAACATGCTCGCGAACCGAGATAATTATTCAGAACTCATCAAGAGAGGTGAAAACATATCCGCTAACACGCTAACACTTTGTAAATGCGGCGAGATGCTGATTGCTTTGAACGTCAGGACGCTAATGGATGTTGAAAGCCAAGCAACGAAAATCGACATCCTTTCTAAATACTGCGTGAAGGCGACTCGTTTATTGGAGGTCCATCTTCCTTATATTGGACCCTGGTTCCGAGCAAAGGCATTGGCTATATCATCGTGATATCTCGGATAACTCGGGGCGGAATGGCTTGTCATATCTGATAAGAATCGATCCGTTCTGATTGAGTGGAAGCCAGTAAATAAACGCATGGCCTACGAGCGTTTCAAGGAAAAATTCTGCAATATTTCAATCATCAGTGTATATGCCCCACCTTTATCCGCAGATGACCGCGATAAAGATAAGTTCTATGCTGAACTTCAACTGTTAACAACATCCCTACCGAAAGGTGACATGGTCATAATCGAAGGAGACTGGAATGCGCACGTAGATCATGATACCGTTACGATGAATTCGGTGATTGGCAAATATAATTTCGAGGTCCAGTGCGCCAATGGAGAACGCCTTCTTCATTTTGCCGAATAGCATGCATTTTTTTTACTAATATATGCTTTCAGTATCTAGTCACGTGGAAAATTCCTGACAACCAATATTCCAATCAGAATTGACTATATATGGGTCAGTCATCGCTGTAGAGTTCTCTACTAGATAGTCGTTACTATCGGGGCGCTGAAAATGGTAAAGGTATATAGGTCAGACCATGTTCATAGATCGAGCCAAGATTCACCAAACTGAGAAGAAAAAATTGAGGAATAGTAAGAAACAATGTATTCCACGACCTTTAAACTATATCAAACTAAAAAATCCGAGAATAAGCACTTATCAAACCGAATTATTAAAGCATCTCAGTGAAATGAATGATATCTCTGAAATGGCGGATCAAATTATCCACTTCCACATTAGAGTATACTAGTATATTAGTAGGAAGCGCACTATTTAGGTGTCGGAAAATTAACTGTCCAAATATGTGAAAAAGCTGCCAATGCTCAATGTCAGGAGAACCTGACTATCAGGTACTTCGAAGAATTACAATGACAGTAGCACGATGTGACAGAAATCGCCATTGGAACAATATGGCCTTGAGAATGGAGACGACGGCCCAGATAGGTGATAATAGGAAATTATTTTGCCTTCTTCGTAAAGCAATTATAACTCGAGAAGGGGTCAGTGAAATGATATGAGATATTAATAGGGAGCCTGCTATTAAGGATCGCCTCATAAAATAGAATTTTTTGATACTAAATTTAACCATGCGCCATCTATATAGCTCATTCGTTCGTCGAGCCATATGTTCGATATTGCGATCTGCCAACAGAAGAGAAAAGAGAAGAGAAGAGGAAATAATCTGTATTCCAGAAACTTAAGGCCAAAAAACTCCTGGAGAAGATGGTCTTCGAAGCTGAAGAGAGGCTGAATTCTTCAAATGTTGTCCATCATCTTTCGTAATTCACCTTCAACAAATTTAACGCCTGGTATGGCAAAAGGAAATAATACCAGAAGGCTGGGGTAATTCAGCTTCCAAGAAAGGTGGCAGATTATACTGCCACAATTACCGAGGAATCAGCCTAAAGACAAAAATTTTTTCCGGAAAAATTTTCGCTTTCCTTTTAAATAGACTGATGGCAATGCGAGATAGCAGAATGCGTCCTAACGAAGCTGGGACGCGGTTGTGCTGGCCAGATGTTTACGCCAATAAGGATGCTGGAACATCAAATACTAGCAAACTCATCGTCACTTGCTTTATCGATTTTGTAGTTGCTGTCGACTCGATTAATACAGCAGCGCTCTGGAAAATGGAATGTGTCCTAGAGAAGATCGTTCGTCTCATAAAGGCATTTTATCAGCACACTCTGGCAGAGGTCTGCATATATGGGGAACTGACTGATCCTTTCGAAATAAAATATGTCCGTCTTGGATGCGTTTTTTCCTTCCAATATTCAACTATACGATAGACTGGACAATGGGCATCGCTTGTTGACACTGAAGAGGTATGCAAGTCCAGAGCACAGCATCATAGTCCCTGAATACGCTGATGATGTAATCCTTTTTGCTGACATTTATAATGAATTGCAAGTAATGTTAAGCGTATTAATAGCTGTAGCGAGAATTCAAAATCAATTTAATTAAAACGAAAGTGTTTTCGTCTCTTATATAAGCTGATAAAATACCTCTTTTTGTAAATTCACTACCGGGAAATGCCCGGTTTTATCTTAGATTCATTAGATTCACTGAAGTAATACCGAATGGCTAGGTAAAAGATGAAATCTTAACCCAGATAACGACAGCTAGAAATGTGTTTTCCGGTTGATGGAACTTTTATGGAATCGTCGCGAAATCACCATAAAGACGAAAGTGCGCATCCCTATAGCTGCAGTTCGCTCGATCTTGCTACATGGCTGCGAACATGGCCAATGAGGTTGGAAAATGTTTAGAAGCTTTCAGTCTTTGACCACTTATATTCTAAGACATATTTTACGATCCGAAGTACGGAATTGAGCGGGTAAAATCACACATGATTGTATCCATCTTTGCTCAGATTATTAATAATGTTATCACCATAAAAGGCACCAGAGTATCCTCATATTCTACGCACATTCCAGCATTTCATGGTTTTTCGGAAGATACTTTAATAAGTTCAGCCCGGCATTGAATTTGTTCTTATCATTATGATAAACACTGATGTGGAGATGTTGCAGAATTTGCCCTTGAAACGAGAGCAACTGGTCATCCCATATGATTAGAGTTGATCGTGTCCTTTCGAATATCGTGATTTTATTTTACTTTATTTTTACTTGAGTTATTCGAATTATCACTATGATGCAACCAGTAGCTGTTCTGTTCTATTATATACAGAATGAAAAAGATGGACATTCGAAGATGGAGATGGTCGTTCGCATCACATTTGGATAGGGTATAGATGGTTATCACTTGGTTCTCATAAGCGTTCTGAAATCTATGAAACTTTGATCAAGACCTCTCTTCATGTGCGAAATCGACTGATAATTATCCAACTTTAGGTGATATAAAGACTTTGGAGAGCTTACATAGCTAATTTTTAATATTAAACTATATTAATATTAAGCTTGGCCCGCATATTCATCGCAAATATTGCCAGGCTGAGAGTACCATGCATATTGGAATACGAAAAAATCGCTCGCGGCTTATTTAACTTAGAAACAATTTGGGATAGCAATGGATGTGGGTTCCAGCAGCCACCCGAACTTGATTTTAATGATAGATTTTCTCCTGTCCAGATAGGCAAAGAGATTTCATAATGGATAACCAAAACTATGGAAAAAAAATAGAAAATTTTGTAAAAGAAATAGAAATTTTAACGGTTTTAATATTTTTTTGTTTTTGAGAGCTACTTCCAAGATTAGTGCCTCGACCATATAGTGCTGCTTGCACTCAGTCGCATCAGGATAAAAGAATTCGATTTGTTTATTCGATAATGACATTCCCTAAAGGCACTGGTCGATGTTATAAACGTTGTGGTCTTGCTACCGATTATTTAATGTCGCTGAATGTTGGTGATTATGTTGAGGTAACTTTGTTTTGCAAATTATCATATCTTAGTTTAATTTGTTTATTATTATTTTTCATATCTTCGATTTGTTGCAAACAAATTTTTTTAAATTTTTAAATTTTTTTTAAATTTTTTAAAAATCAATTGAATTAAAAATTCGCACAGAAAAATGTTTATCTGTTAATACAAGTATATTGTGATCTTTTAAAATTTAAATCTGTTAAAATTTATTATTTATAAATTTATTATTATTTATTATAATTATAATATCCTTTTTCAAAATGTCATTTTTCCTACATTTTTTAGATTATGTTGAAAGAACCGACGAATTTTCGATTTCCTCCTCGATCTTTAAATTTAATAGACGCTCTTCATATACCTTTAATAATGGTTGGACCAGGAACTGGAGTTGTTCCATTTATTGCTTTTTTACAATACATACGGTAATTTTTTTCTCATATTTCCTTACATTCCTATACTTTCCCAGACTTTAAAATAAACTATTGAATAATTCTTAGATCATTTAAATTTTGCCGATTCGTAGATTATTCAGATCGTTATATAGCCATTATATAGTGGCAATGCTAATCATATCTTCCATTTACCTTTGTTTAATTCTATTTTTTTCTGGTAAGGGAAATTTAGAAAAACATAGATATTTCATTTTTATTGATACATCCATATTCTAGCTATCGTAATAAGTATTTGAGATCCACATTAAAATTTTATCGATTCTCTTATCGGATTTCATGTAAAAAAAAATTTCAGTGAAAAATGCAAAAAGTTGAATCGTCATGAAAAGGTTTATCGAGAATTATATTTTGGTTGTCAAAATAAAGAAATTGATTTTATATTTAGGTTGTTTGATTTCTTTTTAAAATATTTTTTTAAATTAAAATCTTTTTAAAATATAAAATCTATATTTTTAAATTTAAATTTCTATTACATTTAAATTTTATACTTTTAAATTTCTATTTTGATTATTGGTGATATTTAGGAATGAGATGTTATCATATGTCGATGATGAAATTTTGTCGGATCTATTTGTTTGTGAATCGAGACCTACTGATAATACGAATGGCAGGTTCTCGCCTTCGTATGTGCAAAGCGTATTGAAATCGAATGGGCAAAGGGTATATTTCAATCTACCATATTAGAATGTATATGCCTCACGAAGAAATTAGTCACTACTGGATTACGAAATCTCGGAACGTCTTATTGAAAAACTTTTGATATCTTATTGTTAAAGCAAACCCTGATAAACACCATTTTCACCATAAACACCGAAAACACCAAACGCTCTTCTTCAAAACTCCTTTATATTTGACTTTTCCTGTTGTAGTTCCACAGTACTATCCAGGCCTGTTATTTTCCCTCGATGTCGCTTACATCTTCTTGTATTTTTACTGTGGCCTCATGGTACAAAATCTTAGAAAATAAAAATGGATGGGATTAGATGAGTACAATGAGAATTATGATTAATTATAAAGTGAAGGGATATAAGGCCAACGTAGCAGAATTTGAAATGTTAAAGGAATATAAAGGAATATCAGGAAAGAATAACTTCAAAGGATTCTCAGTTTTCATAGAATTCTCAGTTTCAGTCTTTTTTTCTTACGATTCTGCTCGTCTGAGGATCTTCTATTTTGATTGTTTTGATGGTAGAATTACGTAATAGTTTTTTAATTTTTTTCTTTCTCATTGTATATGCGATGCTTGTAATTTCAAATTTTTTTTAAATTAAAATTTAAAATTTCTTTGAGCTTATACCTTTTTTTTCCATTTTGAAATTTAAGATTGCCAATCTTTTGACGAAAAATGAAGGCGAAAATAAACTTCCCAGGATTTATATATGTGGAGATGCAAAAGGGATGTCGAAGGATGTTTGGATAACATTTGTTGAGATCGTTATGACGCACTGCAGTAAGTGGATTAATATTAATATTTGTTTTAATGATAAAATTCAGTTTTTAATATTCATATATTTTTAAATTTAGAAAAGTCCGAATATGAAGCGAAATTGTTTTTGGATGGTTTAAAAGCCAAAGGTTGCTATATAGAAGACGTCTGGACCTAGCGAAAATTTCAATTAATAATCATAATCATTTATAATCATCAAAATTTGTTTTATTTATATTATACATATTTATGTTTTATTTTATGTGAATAAATCAGGCAAGACATGTAAAATATTTTTTGAATATCTACAAGGTTTCTTGAAATGAAATTTCTTCTTCTAACAGTTCTCCATTACTCACCATTACTGATTAGGCTGGATCCAACGGCTACAAGGGTAAGACGCTTCCAAGTGGTGCGGTCTTATGCCATCGTCGACAGTAATAGAAGCCATTCCTTTTTCATTCGTCTAGGTCCAAATATTGCTGGTCCACCTATACGTTCAAAATCTTTCTTGACCATATCAGTCCAGGTCTTGATTAGTCCACCTCGCTTTTGACGCCATCCATCATACGATTTAGCAAGTAACGAAATATGCGACAACTCTTGTGGTGGACGACAGAGAATATGCTCTAACCACCGAAGGCAACGCTCTATAATAACATTATTAACACAGATGTTATTTGAGCGAAGATGGATGCGATCATGTGATATTTTATCCGCTCGACGGACCCGTAAAATGTACCTTAGACAAGAATGGTCAATAACTCCTTAATATCCTCCACTTTCATTGGCCATGTCTCTGAGCCATACAGCAAGATCGAACGAATCATGGCTATATAGATGCGGACTTTCGTTTTAATGGTAATTTCACGACGGGTCCATAAAGTTTTCGTCAAGTTTTCGGAAGAACGCATTTTTAGCTGTTGTGATCTGAGCTATCGTCTTTTGCCTGGCCATTTGGTATTAGAGTGGACCCAAGGTTTTTAAAATCGAGCATTTCCTCAATCGACAATGAATTTACAAAAAGAGGCATTTTATTAGCTTCTTGCATAAGACGAAAATACTTTCGTTTTGATTGACATTGATTTTGAGTTCAAGTCTCATTGCAATTGTCGATACATTATTTAACATGATTTGCATTTCATTATAATTGTCAGCAAAAAGGTCTACATCACCAGCTTATTCAAGATCTTTGATACGATTTGGATATCCCTTAAATGCCGACAAGAGGTGTCCATTACCCAGTCTATCGCATAGTTGAATATTGCAGGGGAAAGGACACAACACCTTGACGAACACCAGTTTTTATTTCGAAGGAATCTCCTCATATACTTAGACCTTCGCCGACGTACGCTCATAAAATGCCTTTTTGAGTCTAATGAAACGCCGTCGCGTTCCATCATCCTCCAATGCCTTTCTATTAATTGAATCAAAGGCGCCGCAAAGTCGATGGAAACACGTGACAGTGGGTTGCAAATATCTGAAGCGATGTTCCAACACCCTGATGTAAATATCTGGTTAGCACAACCGCTTCTCATAGTTGTATAAATTAATCTGATGTGTTAAGGATATTCTAAGTGCTGGAAATTTGTAGTTCTTATGGAATTTTGAGTTATGTAAATCCTTAAATGCATATGTATTAGGTTTAACATTATTTAACATTATTTTCAAAGTCATCGTTTCATAGAAAGAATCTAGATGGTTTCGTAGAATTTTTTTATAAAATTTCTAACTTTGGCAGATGATTTATATCAAATATCACTTTAAAATCATCAAAAGAGCCAAAGTCAAGAGAGAAAAAAGAAATAAATTAATAAAAAAGATACAGGTAGTATGAGACAAAATCTTTTAACAACTCTCATCATTGCTGGTTTAGCTGGCTGCACTGGTTGCGAAACTAAAACCAAGCTCTTCATAGAAGCCTTTCCTTTTTCAATCATTTAAGTCCATTTATCACTAGTCCAAAATCTTTCCTGTTATATCAGTCTGGGTCCAGTCTGACTCTTGGTTGGCTCCCTTCACTTTTAATGCCGCATCTTAAGCAAGTAACGAAATGTGTCAACTCCTGCGGGTGATGAAAAATGCATCCCAAGCAGAGGACGCGACGCTCTGCTATGGTACTTTTAATGCAAGTGATATTTGAGTGAGGGTGGATGCAATAGGTCCTCTTGTAAGATAAAATTTTTAGGGAACCGTTAGTTATCGTCATTAATTGCACGCTATTGTTTCGTTTTATTTATTTAAATTATATTCGGATACAATAATTCTTTCATTATTTTTATTTTTATCGCTTAAATTTTGTTCTTTTATTTTTTACTCTTTCATTATCAATTTAATTGAAATTGAGTGTACTGCTCGGTTGTTCGTAAAGCAAATCGTGCAAATGCACGAAAGGATTTCACATGACAAATGAACGATCATATGACAAATGCACGAAAGGATTTCACGAATTTACTAAAGATATAATTTAATGCTGAAAATTCGTTCTCTTCTATTTAAATAATCTGCCTTCCACACGGTTTTTGTTTCCTTCTGCGAGTTTACTCGGGACAAAACGATGGTAGCTTGGAGGACCTCAAGACTGGGTAAGTGTTCATTTATAAATAATATAGAAACAACACTACACAATTATTAAGGGATTGATAGATAACGAAAAAAATTGACGAAATTTAATCGGCAATTATTAATTTGAACGATAAAGAAAATATTTATATAATTTTTATAATTCCTTAATTAATAGACAAACTGTTAAATACATGGCCACAAAAAACTCCGATAAACTACAAATGCGGACGAACGAAAATTTTATACAAAGTTTGCAGCACGTTTCAGATTCATATTCAAAGAATTTAACATTTTGAAAGTCTACTGAAATTCTGGCCCATCGTTTGCTTATATAAATAAACTCGTAAACTTCCTTTCGCGCATTTATCACATGATGATATTTGCACGATTTGCCTTATAAACAACCGAGCAATACACTCAATTTCAATTAAATAATTAATAATTGAGAATAATTGATAATAAAACAGTAAAAAATAAAGAACGAAATTTAAGCGGTAAAAGCAAAATAAATAAAAGGATTATTGTACTCGAATACAACGAAACAGTATGCAATTACTAACGATAACTAACGGTTTCCTAAAAATTTCATCTTACGAGAGGACCTGCGCAAAAATAATAAAATTAAATTCGTTTACAATGTGCTGACAGGTCCGCCCGAGTTCCATTATCGACTGAAAAAAGCCATCTGAGGGCGAGAACTACAACAGAGAGTGAGCTATGTGAAATTGCAAGAAATGAGAATAGCGAAAAGCAACTAAAGGCAAATAGCACACATAAGAAGTTTAGAATAAGCAAAAAAGAAAAGTGGAATATTTTTTTCTGGTTGCCAAAAATGAGGAGATGCGCCTAAACTTCAAAGGGCGCCAGAAAGGGCGCCCTCGCCACAGTTTCCAGTATATAAATTTGCAAATAAACTGATAATTCAATAAATTGTTTTAATCAGCTAATTCATTAACTGGTCGCTAACTGCGACACGTGGAGCGCATGATTTCCAATGAAGAATTTGAGTTCACTTTCCTCTCCCATCCAGCTATTACATTTAGTAGTGTGGATAGCCTTCCATGTGACTAAATATCATTGGAATTTGAGATAACACAGATGTGTAACGAAAAAAAGGATATTTTGAAGCGTTTTAATTCGAAATCGTCATCCTTTTCCGTTAAAAAAGCATCATAATCGTAATCGACCGTTGTGATACTTCAAACTTGAGTAATTAAACTTTATTTAAAATGACAATAACATAACAATAAAATTAATTAGCAATATATTACATTACAATATCTCACCAAACGATCTAGATAAAAAAAACAATTACAAACAAAACCATAAAAATACTAAGCAACCCGCACCTCACCACTAACCTACAACCATAAATCAAACAATAAATTGCACCTCAAAAAGGAATAGAACCGATACAAAATTGCGGCCGCAGCAACGTTTTTGTTGGCTTTCAATCGATTCTGCTCATTTTTGAGCCCAAGATGATATTATGTAGTAAATAATAAAGGACCAACACAACTTCGAGGAATAATTAAAAAATAATCTGATAAAGCGTTATTGATTAATGGTAAGATCGGAAATCCAGTTGAACAATTTGTCAGCATTAATCGTTGTCGCGAATTTATTATTGCTTGTTAATTTGTTGATGCCTTCGGCGTTAATTTAAATTTAATTTTAATTTTAATTTAATCTT